TTCCCTGGTGCTATGATAACAATGTCAAAGCACCAAGAAAATAATCATGCTGTGCCTCGCTCTCTTCTGCCGACTCTGCAGGACCGGAGGGGAGATCAGAGACCTCCCTCACCGGGCCGCTAGATCTGAAATGCTGCAGCCGGCAGGGGAGGGAGAGAGGGCCCTGGGGGGAGCACTAGCCTGCAGCTGCGCCGGGTCTTCCTCTCGCGAGCCTAGAGCATTGCCACGTTTGCCATGGCAATGCCCTGGTTCTCGCGAGAGTGAACTCAGGAGCTGCAGGCTATAATAAATTATATTTATTAATTATATTTATTAATCTCCGCTCCTACCCCCACAAACCCACAATGACTGCCCCCATACACACACACTGCCTCCCATACACATATACTGTACCCCTCACACACTGTACCCTTTACACACCGACTGTTTTGACTTGGGGAGCCTTGGAAAAATATTGAAATATTAAGAGCGTCTTGAACCTTAAAAGTTTGTGAACCACTGAATTAAGGCATTATTGTAGGTACTGCGACTGCTTTATCTCATTTAAGTGGTTATAGTATCTGGCATCCCCTGGTGTCGCCCTTCCATTCAGAGTTAGATTTGGTGCTAAATGAGAGTCCTCAGCAGCCGATGTGTTCTGCCTGTGCTAATAAGGAGGAATTAGCCTGAGCAGTAATGGGCTACTGTGATTGGCTGAGAGTGTTAGCTGACCGCTTTCAGCCTATCCCAACAACCATTGCTGGTATGAATTGGTATGGCTAACGAAATGTATAATCCCAGCTCCCAAAACCTTCCCGATATATTCCTGTCTGCATTATGAGAAAAAATCATTATTTGTCCCAAAAAAAGTCCAGTGTCTTTTCACAGTTGAGGAACCTGCAATGCCTCTGCTAGGATTCAGATACATTTTAGCAAGTTTTTTGTTGTGTACACCGATGTACAATTTTTCCCACTAGACTCCCCAACACCCCAACTTTATAAATAGAATTCTGAAATGTGTTAGTTTAACTGCTACAATAAGCTGTGGTGGGTATGGTGTTTGGAGTGTTATTTTGATAAATTATGATGGTATCTGTATTATGTTTAATGAACTGATTTTACTCTATCACCATATGAACATAACTCATGTTATAGGTCAGCACTTTTCATACAGAGTCAAAAAACATCATACTCATCTGTAGAAACATCTGACTGTCCTTGCTAAGAAAGCTGAGTTGAACGCAGTGGATGCATGGAATAGCCTTCCAGCTGAAGTGGTAGAGGTTAACACAGCGAGGGCGTTTAAGCATGCGTGTGATAGGTATAAGGCTATCCTAGACTTAAGATAAGGCCAGGGACTAATTAAAAGTATTTAGAAAATTGGGCAGACTAGATGGGCCGAATGCTTCTTATCTGCCGTCACATTCTATGTTTCCATGTTTCTAAGTACTGACTTTACCCGGTTTGAAAACTTTGGGCAAAATATGAACATTATGCTGTTAACTTGCTACAGGTCATGGTTTAGTGAATGAGCTTAATATGCATATGCAATTATTATTATTTTTAAAAGCACCAATAAATTCTGCAGAGCTGTATGAACAGTGGACTAACAAACAAGTAGTTGCATCAAGACAAGTTGGCAAGCATGTGCCAGAACACCATAGCATTTTCTCAACAAAAAAAAAGTTTCTCCTGTGTTAAACCTATCAAAAAAGCTCAAATTCAGCCGCGCAACTTGATAACATTCTCATTTTATTCCTTGCCAACTCATCTAAACTATTAGGGAAGGTGTAGATACTGTCCTGAGAACGTTTTGTTTCTCTAGCAGCACAAAATGTCACATCACAATGTTAACGATAATTTAACAATAAAATATACTTTGCCAGGGTGACCACCTTTCCCATCACAGCAATGGAAACTGTAGCAGGTCACGAAAAAAAAAAAAAATGACTACTGGGTTCCAAAGGGAGGAACCTGCATCCTGTGCTTGAATTTCACTTTCTGTTCATTTGAAACCTTTACTACAGAAAACTATTCAGGCTCAGGAGAGGCAGCTGTACTTGTAACAATAGTTCCATTAATCACCTGTGACTTCTATCCACTGATAAACGTGCACATGCTAAACCACTCTTATAGACACGACTATTCCTGGCAGTAATTTGAACCTTAATATGCCTAATTACAATAAATTACAAGCCAAACGAATTGTTAACTCTGAAATAAACCTTCTTTACAGACACAGTGTCCTTGTACTATCCCAATAACTGACGTTGGCGTACTGCTATGTGTTTGCCCTACTGATAATGGAGAATGGTCCTGATTTAAATGGGATTATATCGGAAAACAATCCCCGAGAACACATTAGGAAATAATGTTTTCTGAGATAAGGTACTAATCTAGGGTCAAAGTTGTCATTAGCCACACTGCGGGGACTAACATTCCTGAAATGTAAACACAAAAGAAATACCGCAAAAGGTAGTGTGCTCTACAGCACATAGTATATTCATTTCGCAGGCGCACGCAAGTGATTTCACTAACTATGACATTTAATTTTAGATGTTAAGTCTATTTTTAACTAAGCCCTCTTTCAGGAACGAAATTCGCCTTTGTGAATTTGCCAGAATGAAATTCACCTGTTTGAATTCACCAGTTTTAATTTACCAGTTTTAATTCGCTTGTGTGAATTCAATTCGCCTGAAAATTTAGAATTTTGTCCCAAATGTAATGCGCTATCGAATGTAATGCGCTATCGAATGTAATGCGCATTCAAATTTTGGAAACTTTATTTTTCAAAAAAGATGTGCATTAGATTTGAGTGAATACGGTATATCAAAACTGGTATTAAAAATAGAGTAAATTACATTGGCACAAGAAATTACTGTATCTTCTTCGTCCAATCAGCAGTCATCATCTTTCTTCTGCAAATGAAGAAACAGATCAACATAATCTTAGAGAACAAAAACCTTTTGGAAGAAACTTAACAGGATAAACAACCAACAGAATAAAACTTTAAATCAACATCATTAGGTGAATAAATCTCCATAATTTATATTGTATGTGGAAATTTTCCAATTCAAAAAAGCTTGAAATTTTGCATGAAAAACAACAGGAGAGAAACTGTTATCATCACAACAACAACTTGCAAAAAGCTGCATTTCTCTTGTCTGCATCATTTGCGAGCCCTCCCCTTCTAACCCTGCCCAGACTTTCTGTGGCTGTCCAATTACAGACTTCTCAATGCAGCTCAATGAGAAGCCTTTGCAAGACAGGTGTTCTGGGCAATTGATCCCTCTCGAGTTTAGCTTTGCTGAGCTAAACAAACCAGGAAGTAACAGGGTCTGTTGTCTGATTGACAGCCAGGGGGGGTGTAACAAAGTTAATTTATAAAAGTGGTAATTTCTGTTGAGCTATGGGAGTCATAAAGGAAGTACCTTTTGAATCTAATTTTTCCAATCAGTCTGAAATCCATAAGATATCTATGATGCAATTAATGCTTTCCAGCTTTAAGTGTCTGTATACCCCATGACTGTTTAGGTTTTTCAAATTTATCACAGGATACATGTGTCCTCCTTCAAATCCTGGAGGGTTCAAACTTATATTTTCTATAGTACAGCTTTTGTGTAATTACAAGATTTTGTGTGTTACCAATTGTTTATGTATTTTGGAAAGAAAGTTAAGCACACGAGCCTCTGTGCCATTTAATGAAACAGCATAAATGACAGATATAGTTCCATTTTCGATTCACAGTCATACAAACATACCAATCTAAAAAAAAAAAACAAGGTCAGCTCTGTTCTCTAACTGAAGAGGTTAAATAAATATATTCATGCCTACAGCAAACATTTTGGTTTCTGTTGTTTTTTTTCTTTTCTTTTTCAAGGAAGTTTGAAAAATGCTGACTTTTGTCAAACTAAATTTGCCAGTGTTATACAAGAGCTGAGAGACAGAAATGCCTAGAAATGAAGGAGTTTGAAACACCATTGATCCTATGTAATATGCTGATAAATCACTGTATCTCCGGATGGAATTAAACTAATTTCAAGAAGTTTGGAAGAATTGCCTTCAGGGATCCGCTTTTAACTTGCCCTATTAAACCTTACCCCGATGGAGGAATTTCCAGTTCATTGTGAGGATAAAGTGTGGATTTCTAAATTGCTCCTCAGATAAAAAAAAGGACATTTGTAAGATATCTCTGGTTCCAACATGAGTGCACGAATTGAAGACAACCATGTCTTCTTCTACAATTCTCTTGACTTGATATAGACTCTATATACTTCCAACCCAAGTGATAGCTTGAATACAAAATACCAACAACAGGTAACTACAATGCAACAAAAAAGAGAAATACATAGGGCAATATTGCCAATTGTAAAATATGAAAGAATGTGTAAATTATACACTCACAAATAGTGATGTCCCGAACGGTTCGCCGAACGGTTCGCCGAATGGTTTGTGAACGGTTCGCCACGGTTTACCACGAACGGTTCGCCGCGAACTCCAGTCAGCAGACACATTCCAGCCAATCAGCAGCAGACCCTCCCACCTCCTGGACAGCATCCATTTTGGGAGGGAGGGTCTGCTGCTGATTGGCTGGAATGTGTCTGCTGACTGGAGTGCGCGGCGAACCATTCGAGACGAACCGTTCGCGAACCGTTCGGCGAACCATTCGGGACATCACTACTCACAAACCCAAATTGATTGAAGGCATATCAAATAGTATGAAGAATATTTTCGTATCCGTATACCAGCATATAGGAGAGAGAAATAAAGAATAATAGTGCAGAGTTTCTAAGACATCATAAATCTTTAATAAATATTGCACTTACAAGATTGAAGTGTAATATAGGCACATCATAAATAGCAGTCTCTGAAGCAGCAAACAGGAACACCTCCAACAATGATGTAACTAGATAGGGTCCTTCAGCTGCATCAAGACAAACAAAATAACAGAAATAACACAAAATAAAAGAAACTCTAACACTAAAAAGCAGGCCCTACGCGTTTCGTTCAGATTGCTGAACTTCTTCAGGGAAAAATAATTACAAACAGATCTCCAAAAAATGCAGCTGAGCTAAGCTAAACTGCATTTTTTGGAGATCTGTTTGTAATTATTTATAAGTTCAGCAATCTGAACGAAACGCGTAGGGCATGCTTTTTAGAGTTTCTTTTATTTTGTTTTATTTCTGTTATTTTGTATACGTATACGAAAATATTCTTCATGCTATTTGATATGCCTTCAATCAATTTGGGTTTGTGAGTGTATAATTTACACATTCTTTCATATTTTACAATTGGCAATATTGCCCTATGTATTTCTCTTTTTTGTTGCATTGTAGTTACCTGTTGTTGGTATTTTGTATTCTGTCTATGAGGACTAGAAGGAGTCCTTGTCTACATGCAGATATTGTATTGGGGTAATAGTATTTTTATTTATTTTTACCCTTACTCTCCTTTTCCCAATAAGGTGTTTCTGTCACAAGTGATAGCTTGTCAGAATTATGCGAAAAATGACCTTCACAGAATAGGAGAATCAGGAGGTGAGGTCAATGAAACCAAAAATAATTTAATATCAAAAAGACATTTGCAGTACACACAGCCATTAAATGCGAATGGGGTCTTCATACATCACATAATTGGGGAGGCAATGCTGGATTTAATGGGGTTGTGTCAGCCCTGTCGGACGCAAACTTCAAGGACACAAATATTTACACATGGTTTTGTGCATGAGTGAAGAACTATGAGGACATTCTTGCTCACATAGAACTCTATTATTCATCTCCAGACGTGTTCCATGATGCTCATGTGCAAGCAAGCTTTCATGCATGTCAATTTTGTTTCCTTGAGTTTTAGTGAAGCATAGGGTAACCATGTTTTATATTTAGCTCAGATTGCTGATGAAGAAAAATGATACTAAGGCTGAATGAATACTAGTATTTGAAGAGAAAAAACATGAACAAATTCAGAATATTAATTTTTAGGGCTAATTCTCTGAACATGTTCCCCAAACTATTGAAGCATCAACATGTGTATACAAAGCAAAAAAAGGCAGGGGAAAATATCCAGATGATATCATAATTCATTTAGTCAGTAAGTTATGGAGAGATTACAAGAGAAAAATAAGAATTGTACAATATTTATGCAGAATAAACCTAGTTTCGTTAGACATGAAAGGGAGGTGAGTAAACATTTCAGGATCAGCATTAAAACTAAACCCACAGATACAGTTGCAAGAATAAGTATGTGAACTCTTTGGAATGATATGGATTTCTGCACAAATTGGTCATAAAATGTGATCTGATCATCATCTAAGTCACAACAATAGACAATCACAGTCTGCTTAAACTAATAACACACAAAGAATGAAATGTTGCCATGTTTTTATTGAACACACCATGTAAACATTCACAGTGCAGGTGGAAAAATTATGTGAACCCTTGGATTTAATAACTGGTTGAACTTCCTTTGGCAGCAATAACTTCAACCAAACGTTTCCTGTAGTTGCAGATCAGACGTGCACAACGGTGAGGAGTAATTCTTGACCATTCCTCTTTACAGAACTGTTTCAGTTCAGGAGTATTCTTGAGATGTCTGGTGTGAATCGCTTTCTTGATGTCACAGCATCTCAATCGGGTTGAGGTCAGGACTCTGACTGGGCCACTTCAGAAGGTGTATTTTCTTCTGTTTAAGCCATTCTGTTGTTGATTTACTTCTATGCTCTGGGTCATTGTCCTGTTGCAACACCCATCTTCTGTTGAGCTTCAGCTGGTAGACAGATGGCCTTAAGTTCTCCTGCAAAATGTCTTGCTAAACTTGGGAATTAATTTTTCCTTCGATGATAGCAATCCGTCCAGGCCCTGGCGCAGCAACTATGATGCCCCCACCACCATACTTCACAGTTGGGATGAGGTTTTGATGTTGGTGTGCTGTGCCTTTTTTTCGCCACACATAGTGTTGTGTGTTTCTTCCAAACAACTCAACTTTGGTTTCATCTGTCCACAGAATATTTTGCCAGTACTGTGGAACATCCAGGTGCTCTTGTGCAAACTGTAAACATGCAGCAATGTTTTATTTGGACAGCAGTGGCTTCCTCTGTGGTATCCTCCCATGAAATCCATTCTTGTTTAGTGTTTTACGTATTGTAGATTCGCTAACAGGCATCTTAGCATTTGCCAGTGGCTTTTGTAAGTCTTTAGCTGACACTCTAGGATTCTTCTTCACCTCATTGAGCAGTCTGCGCTGTGCTCTTGCAGTCATCTTTACAGGACGGCCACTCCTAGGGAGAGCAACAGCAGTGCTGAACTTTCTCCATTCATAGACAATTTATCTTACCGTGGACTGATGAACAGCAAGGCTTTTGGAAATACTTTTATAACCCTTTCCAGCTTTATGCAAGTCAACAATTCTTAATTGTAGGTCTTCTGAGAGCTCTTTTGCGCGAGGCATCAGTTACATCAGGCAATGCTTCTTGTGAAAAGCAAATCCAGAACTGGTATGTGTTTTTTATAGGGCAGGGCAGCTCTAACCAACACCTCCAATCTCATCTCATTGATTGGACTCCAGTTGGCTGACATCTCCCTACAATTAGCTCTTGGAGATGTCATTAGTCTAGGGCAGTGATGGCAAACCTTTTTGAGCCTGAGTGCCCAAACCGTAATACATGCCAATTTTGTTTTCCTCAAAATGCCAAAACGGCAATTAAACCTGAATACTGAGGTTTAAGTTTAGAAAAAAACAACTCATACAGTTGTCCGAACTAATTAACATCTCTATGTGTGTATTAAGCAGTTTGTGTGTGTGCTTGGCAGTCTGTCTGTATATGTATTAAGCAGTGTGTCTGTATGTGTATTTAGCAGTCTGTCTGTGTGTATTTAGCAGTCTGTCTGTGTACTTAGCAGTCTGTCTGTATTTAGCAGACTGCTGAATACACACACAGACTGCTGAGTACACAGTCTGCTGAATACACACACAGACTGCTAAATTCACACTCACACACAGACTGCCGAGTACACACACACACAGACTGCTAAATACACACACACACAGATTGCTGAGTATACACACACACACTGCTGAGTACACACACACAGACTGCTGAGTACACACACACATAGACTCCTAAATACACACACACAGACTACTGAGTACACACACACTGCTGAGTACACACACACAGACTGCTAAATACACACACACAGACTGCTAAATACACACACACACAGACTGCTGAGTACACACACACATACTGCTGAGTACACACACACACATACTGCTGAGTACACACACACACAGAATGCTAAATACACGCACAGACTGCTGATTACACACACACACACAGACTGCTGAGTACACACACACACACAGACTGCTGAGTGTACGCACACTGCATTGAGGGGTACAGTGTATGTGTTTGTGTGTGGGGTGATGTGTTTGTGTGTAGGGTGATGTGTGTGTGTGTGGGGTGATGTGGGGGGTGGTGTGTGTGGGGTGATGTGTGTGTGTGTGTGTGGGGTGATGTGTATGTGTGTTTGTGTGGGGTGATGTGTGTGTGTTTGTGTGGGGTGATGTGTATGTGTGTTTGTGTGGGGTGATGTGTGTGTGTGTGTTTGTGTGGGGTGATGTGTGTAGGGCAGGGGTGCTGTGTGTATGTCGTCCCCCCTCACCCCCCACTGTTCTTTTCCCCCATCCCTCAATCAGTTTTCTTTCCCCCATCCCATACTCAGTTTCCCCCCTCAGTTTTATTCCCCCTTCAATTTTCTTTCTACCCCACTTGTCCTTAATCTTCTACCTTGTAGCGTGGCCGAGCGCACCGCGGAGCTCAGTTTCCTGTACCAGGCCGGACAGGAAGTGCTCTCTCTGTGAGCACTTCATTTCCGTCCGCCCGGGTACAGGAAACATAAGTTCCTGTACCGCTGCACTCTCGGCCACGCTAGACAGAGTGCCTGGCAGGAGGGAGCGCTATGCGCTCACCTCCTGCCGGTCACTCTGGTTTTTCGCCCGCCGGGCCGGTGCACCCTAAGGCGGCTACTTGTGCCGCCTTATGGATGCGCCGGCAGAACGCACCCTCCCTTCCTCCCTATGGCGACCTGTGGCCGCGTGCCCACAGAGGGGGCTCGGCGTGCCACCTGTGGCACGCGTGCCATAGGTTCACCATCACTGGTCTAGGGGTTCACATACTTTTTCTACCTGCACTGTGAATGTTTACATGGTGTGTTCAATAAAAACATGGCAACATTTCATTCTTTGTGTGTTATTAGTTTAAGCAGACTGTGATTGTCTATCGTTGTGACTTGGATGATGATCAGATCACATTTTATGACCAATTTGTGCAGAAATCCATATAATTCCAAAGGGTTCACATACTTTTTCTTGCAACTGTAAGATAGGGGTTTTTGATCGCTACGTACAAGGTCCTACCTTAAGGAAGTTAAGTCCCAACCTAATGATGTCATTAATTACAAGAAATTTGATAGGGATTTAACTTTTAGATTGCAAAAAGTCATATTGATATCAATAACATTGAATAAGCCTTTAAGAAAGGTATCATCAATATAAAAGATTATGAATATCAGAATGGTAATTATTTTAATACTCCAGTACTCTGTCTTCTTTTCTTCCTAGTCAACATCCAATTACGTCTAGGGCTGATTCACTATATCAATTTCTAAAGTTACACTACTGCATTAGGAATACAAACATGTATTCCTAACACTATAGTGCCTCTGTCCCTACTTGTATTCAGGGCACCCAGTGCTATAAAATGAATTATTATTTTTTTAAATTCTTTATTTTTGCAGTGCTTAGATTTAACAAACACGCTTGTATCGCCACGACAGCAGGTACAAGCCGGTGAAATAATACATATTATACAATATCGTTGCGATCATTAACAGCACTTTTTTTGTAAGCGTAATAAACAATATGGTGAAGATAGAGTTAATTAATTTGAAGGATCATGAGTAATGGCATGCATAACATTGTAGACATAGAAGGTGTTAAGCACCCCTCAACATGCTATATAAATGCGAGTGTGAGGCTTTAATCTACATTTCCTTTATGGCATAACCTTCCAGACAGGGCTATAGTTAGATGGGTATATAAGACAGGAAAAATAGTACCAC